TAATACTAACTTGATTAATATTAATTTAATTTTTTATATTAATACTAACTTAATTAATATAAATTTTAAATATTTGCACTAGTATTAATTTGAATATTCATTAATTAAATAAATTGATACAAATTATTATTAATATACATCACTTTTAAAAAAACTAACACACACATATATACATATATATATATGAATTTACATCAATGATATAAATAAAACATTTGATCAACTGACATTAATATTAAGTTAATTAATTAATTTTAAATTAACATTACTGCATCCTTACTCACATGGTCTATGCATTAGTCGAATAATTGGCGCTTCTGGAGCTTGTAGCTGGCTTTGTTGGGAGGCTCCCTTAGTTTGTTACGTCAACTCCAAAAAGATAAGTAATGGTAATATTTATTTCAGTTATAATAAGTGATGCAAACAAAAGTTCAACTAAACAACTATGTTATATTGCTAAAGAAAGATGAAAAGTACTAGTTTTCACCTCTATAAAAAAATAATTAACACCAAATATTTTTTATGTTAAATCATCTATATGAAAAAAATAAAAAAATAAAAAATAAATCATATATGTATTTAAATATATTTCTCAGAATAATGAATACAAAATAATTAGTCATTTTAAATTAATTATATTTTAAAAATTAATAAGAAAAATTAAAATTTACATACATTTATCACTAATATATAATTTAAAATTTATATAAATTTCTATAAATTTATATAATAATAATATCAACTAATATATGATATAAATGTATATCATTAATTGTTATAGCCGAGACAAATAAATAACATCATTTATATTAACTGATGCAAGTATTTACTTCAATTATATTAACTGATGCAAATGACTATATCATATTGTAATTGATGCATATTAACATCAATTAATATAAATGATGAAAAATAATTTTATCAATGGATAATATTGATATAAATGATTATAGTCACCACTTGTGATATCTATTTAAATAAATGTGCATCAATCAGAAAATGATATTAACAAATAAAATACATAATACAAAATACATGAATTTTTGTAGTGTGTTGTTTTAGTTAAAGAAGATTTCAATGCTTTATCTTTTTCATTTAAATTTCTATATTCTGAATTATATTGTGACTATTCTCAGTGAGAATTACTAGATTTTTCAATAAATATGCATGTAGATGTTAAAAAAAAATAATTTTAACTTTATATTTTTAATGCATTAATTAGAAAGATGACAATTTTATTTATATTAATCAAAATAGAATATATATTTTATAATTGTTATTATAATATATATATAAAAATGTAAGATCACTAGTTATGAAGTATAAAGTACTTATCAGTTGTAAATTTTGTCATTGACCGATATTTTCAGTGATTGTTAAAAACAAATAGCTTTCACTGCTACGGCTTACTGATTTATAGATTCTAACATTTTTATAAGATTACATTGATATTCGTTTATTGATTCTAAAATTTTTTTATAAATTTATTGCTACTGGTTTGATAACTTTTAAAATTTGTTCAAAATCCAATTTAATTAAAAAAAATTAGATTTTAATGCTTTTGTGAATCTATTAGAATATACTGTTACTGTAATATAGAATTACTAATTTAATTCATAAAAAAAAATTTAAAATACTATATATACTCCTTAAATTTTAAAGTTTGTTATAAGTAGAACATTTTATATCTTTTAGATACATAAAACTCTTAAAAGCATAATAAAATTTTATACTAATTTAACAAATTTATTGACTTACTTAAATTTTGACTAGCTCAAATGCAGCGGTTGCGGTCACAGGTGCAAAAATTTGTGAAAGTGAACGTTTGTGGTTAACAGCATTACTAAGCAGTTTGTACAACTGATACAACGGTCGAAAGCGAATGCATTTGCATAATACTTATGAATGGTTCATTTGCAGATGCAAAAGCTATTAATTCATAAATTAACAATATAATTACATTTTACAATTATAAAAATATTTAAAACCATATTATAAAAAAAATTACTAGTTAAACATAATAAATAACAAAAACTGTAATAATATTTAACTTACTAAATAAAAAATCGTGGTAATTATAATTATTAAAAAAATTAGACTAAAAACAAAACTATACCATATAACTTATTTTTCTTACTTCTACGCTGCTGCTAAAAAGTTTATTAGTATAACTGTACAAAGTTCTCAGGATTTTTTAAATAATTAGTTACAATTAAGATAAAGTTATTATATTTGTTTTTTCACTTGACTATGTCAAAACATATATTGGTTATTTTATCCATTTAAAGAGAACTATTAAAAAAGATTGATTTTGAAAGTTTGGCAATGATTTTGTAGAAAAGAAGGAAAATCATTTTTATGTTTTAACTGTAGTTTAAATTACTGACTTCATTGTATTATTTTTTGATATGTGGTAATCATATTTATTATTATAACTTTTTTTTTATAAATGAGGATATTTTTTATATTTGCTTCTGCAAGCTATTAAGGTTGGCACGGCTCCAACCTCCATTAATCTAAAGACAAGTTATCACTGAACGGGTGTCACTTAGGTATTGATTTGTTCTCCCGCTAATATCCACAAACGCAGCTTTTACGGATGGTAGTGATTCTTGGCATTTAACAATTATCACGAAAATACTTTTAACTATTTTGTACTGCTTTTTCTCCCACAAAATCAAAAACTCATTTCCACTAGCATTTGCGGTTGCGGCTGATCAATTAAAAATATAAAATTTATTTAAATTAAAATAAATATAATATTTTTTCTTAAATTTGTTTTTGAAAACTATGATTACAAAATATATAAATAAATTTAACACTTTTGTAGTGATATTGATTAAATATTTTTATGGTCTAAAATTGACATTCATTAACTATTAGTTATAAATTTATATTTATAAGATCTTTAAACCAGAAAAGTTTAGATAAATTTTCTTTCTATCATATATATCTAATAACTTAAATTATTTAAATATAATTTTAATATTTATAAAAATCTTAATTTTCATCTCAGTTATAAAGAATTAAGAAATAAATGTAATTATTATGTATATAATATTTTATAGATTTTATTATTAATTATATTAAAATAATAATTTTATATTTTTCATAATAATATATTTTAATGTTTTTTAATTATATAATATATTTATACTGTTATTTTGTTATATAGTTATTTTGTACCTGTTGGATAATCAATTAAAAATATCCCGCAATATATTCATTTTCAATTATTATATTAATCGTATAAACTGTTAATTAACATTATTAATCGCAATCACTCAATTTCATAGACTCATACATCGTAACTGCTGCTGCGTTTAAACTAGTTATATATTTGAGTAAAACGGCCAATTCGTAATCTCATTCTGTACAATGTAGCGATTTAGCACCCACACTATTTTGGTGTGCGAATTCATACCCAAATTTCTAAATATTTGAATATAAATATATCAATTTTTGCCGTCCAACCAAAACCAACTTTGACCACCACCCCGTTAGTCAACGTTCTCGACTCTGTTAACGACGATGACTAAGCTGCCAGCTCCGTGCACCTGTGGAACAGTAACGAAGACAGCGTCGTTTTGTGTTATGGGTAAAGATTTGGGCTTTGTCATTTGGTTGGACTTGGGCTGTGATATTTGGCTTTTGGGCAATCAGAACAAACCCAAGACGACGCTGTTTTGCAAATCGGTTTGAAAATTATAATCTTCGTCTTCATCTTTGTCGGGCTCGAGTTATCAAATTGGGGAAGAACAATTTTAGGGTTCGAAGAGAAATTCAACGAATGCCGACTTCATCGAATGAAAACGCATCATCACGCTATTCAGGTATGATTATGGTATGAATTTGGTTGTGTGAACGCGAATTATTGAGAAATTGTTTTCTAAATCGTGATTGGAAATTCGCATGAAAATTGCCTAAGTTTAGTACAAATTGAAGTCGTGGTGTTATTTTAGGGGCAAGAGGGATGTCCGATGCTTGTAGATATGGCGAATCACCCATAATAAAAACACCAGCTACCAATAAAAATTCAGGGAGATTATTTTATTATTTTTCGATGGGATCAGAAAATGTAAGTATTTTCTTAAAGCTTACTACGATTTGGTGTTATTGGAGTAGACTTTGAAGACTTGTAACTGACTAAAGGTTTTATGTTTTGTAAGTACAAGCACCATTTGTTCAAATGTACCGATGCGGCAATTATAGAAGAGATTGAAGAGATGAAACAAACGTTTGTAAATAGCTTTGAGACAAAGATAGAAGACATGAAATGCACTGTTCATGTAATTGAAAAGAAGATGGAAGAAATAAAAACTGAGGTTGAAGGGCATGAGAAAAGAGTTAAAAAAATGATAAAAGAGATCTATTTCTTGAAAAATATAATCATGGCTGGAGTTGTTACGAACGCTTGTTATTATTGGTTATGGATCTAGCTCTACTAAAATCATAACTTTCATCTAAAACAAAGAAAATTAAAAATAAATGTAAGTATTATTCACATATTACTTTTTATGAGTTTTCACTAATTATTAGTTATGTTAAACTAATGATTTTTATATTTTCATAATAATATGGTTTATAATGTTTGTTATAATTATATATTGATAGTTTTTGTTTAATCGGTATTGCACTCCAAATCAACCAATTATGTGTATGTCACAAATATACTCGTTTACAATCGTTATACCAGAGTCATATGAATCATTTATTTGAAATAATTGAAATCGCAACCAGCCACTTTTACAAACTCCCGCACCTGCATGGACTTACGACCAATCTTTTTATATAAAAAAGATTGTAAGGTAAAATATCACATTTTCTTAAAAATTTGCAAAAGAGACCAATTTTTCTCCTTTTTAGCTTACGGTCTTCTAAAATTTTCAAAAACTCAGAGTCGGCTCTGTGTATCAGTCAGTATTAGTATATTTTTTGTTTTAAATCCTAAAGGCTATTCATGAAACAATACGAAAAAAATGACAATAAAGCTATTGCATTTAATTCCAAATATCCATTCTACAATAAGGGCAATACACATTAGTCTCTAGCCAAGGCAATAAGCATATGGAGTGAAACTTATGGGCACATGGTAGGTGGACCAATGTCTCACCCGTCTTGAACTGGTCTAGACATATAGCACAATCTTGTTGTTCTCTAACTCGCCACCCGAACCATTCCTCGATCAATCTTCTTCGGCTCTTCTTCAACCCGACCACCTCTGTCGGTAACTCCCTGTGAGATTTACCTTTTTGTTGCTCGGATTTATTCACTTTGTCTTTACCATTTTGCCTGAACTTGAAAATTCAAAGCAAAATTCAAGAGACAAGTAATGTCAAATTTGGTTGTCTTGGAAGCTGCCTAGTGGTTTCCGGTAAAAATTTCCACTATAAAACAAAAAGACGCAACTTAAAACATTAATAGAGAGCAATTGCTAATATGCGCCTGCCTTATGGAATGTGGGGTTAACACTAAAGATATAAAATAATTGTCCGAGAAAAGGAGATCTCACAATTATATGCTCATGTGATACCACATGTTTTGAATTAGAATACATCATCATGCGTCATTATCATGGAATAAAAGCAAAATGGCTAGAGCTGGTTTGGCGCATTTTAAGGTGAATTAGGACGCGGTTTGCTATCATACACTTGTTTAACCAAACCGAACCTTCTTCGCGGGTTCCTCAGCCGCTCGTCTAGCCTCTCCTTAGCTTCTTTGGCTGCTCCTACGAGATTCTCACCGTCATCCTCTCCATAAGATTTGTTCCTAACATTTCTCTCCTATAATTTCATAAATTTAAAAACTTTAAAGCTCTTGCAACAAAGTGTTTTAACTTTGATTTTATTATTCATTTCATTACCGAGAATGAGACATAGGCCTGATGACTCTCGTGATTGGTAGTGTAGAGAGAGAACGATGGTCGCCGAGTCCAGACGTGTCCTGCCGCTGCCGCCATAGCAGCCGTGTTGGATAACTCAACCGGTGGAGCACCGCCGTGGAAGCGCCGCCTCCTCGCACACTCAACTCCGGCAAGCATACCAGCCATTTCTTTATTCTTGTTTTTTTTTAGTGAGAGAGAGAGAGAAAGAGAGAGAGAGAGAGAAGAAAAAAATGACTGGCAGCTACGTATATTTATATCACTAATAATTGAGGAGAGCAATATTGATACACATACATATACTTGATAATGATATAAAGAAGGGTTAATTAGGTAGATACCAAAAGTTAGTTCTAAATTGGATAACTAAAATTTCTATCTATAAATATAGCAATTTCTTCTTGCCTATCTTTTACATCTTGACATAACAAAATTTTAATAAAGAAGGCCAGAATTTTTAAATATGATATATGAAAACATTAAGGAAAAAGTGGAACACAGGTATTCATCATTGCAACTTGGATGCAATAGGCTTAATTTAAGCAGCTTAACTCTTGTCTTAAAATACTAACTTGGGGATATTTTACAGAACCAAAACAAAAATCGTAAATTGGACCATATGATATTATAAGGTAAAATAAAACTAACATACGTTTTATTTAACGTAAATCATGTGAGCGTAGCAGAATATATAAATTTCTTTTTATAAGAATCTGCTGCATTCGCTCTATTTGTTTTTAATCGAGAATGAGATGTTTTGTGTTTGTTACAAAACGTTAAAATCGTTTCAAGTTTACACACACACATATATAAATATATATATATATATATGTATATATATATATTTATTTATTTATAAATATTAACAATTGTTTTAAAAAAATCATATAATTTATTAAAAAACAAAAAATAGTGATATACTAATTCGAATTAATGCAAAATATCTGATGACGTTGCATCTTTCAAAGGTTGCTTGTTTTTTTTCAGATATACTATAAAATTTAATAAAATTCACTAATAATTAAACATCAATAAAAAATTATTATAAATGCATGTGTTATTAAATTTTTGATAAATAGTCTATGAATTTGTGTAAAGCTGTAACCGAGTTTATGACTCATAGTGTAATTACGTGTACTAAAAATTGAAAGAATTATTATGTGAAAACTTTAAAATGTTTTGTTGACTAAACTATATATATTATATTAAATCCAAGAAAAAATAAAATTACTTATTATGTAAATTTCCGGACCACATATAACATATATGGACTAGAGTATAAAAGGTCATTGCATTTCAGATAATAAGGTACACAATGTGAAGACTGACTGTGGACAAAGAAAAGAACAAAACAAACAAGAGGAAGTTTCGCGGCAATTTACATTGTCGTGCATACAAACAGCACAGTTCATGCATTCATCAAGATCCAGACGTATCGTTTTCTAAGAAATAACGATAGATTTGACTAATAAATAATTACCAGTAACAGAATAAAAGCTGGATTTTTTTTTATCAATCGAACAGATCCTAAGAGCGACTCCAATTGCACGGGATAACATCAAATATGGTGTCCTCATCATTCAAATTGGGGTTATACCACATTAAATATATTTTAATGAAATTTTCTATAATTATCTTTTAATATACATACAAATTGGGGCTTATACCACATTAAGTATTTTTTAATCCAATTTATATGAACATGATCTACAAACAATTTGAGAAAGTCCTACTTTTATCGTTGAACATATTTAATGTGGTATAACCCCAATTTAACTTTATTTGACAAACTACCAATTTTTTCTGTTTCAATGTTACTTATCAAACTAACAAAATTATATGCAAATGCAATATACTGTAAACTAAAACTAAGAATACATGTTCAAAACAAACCGCAAAGGAAAATGTTGGTATACTAACATGATCAATGTGGAATCTCCTTCTAACGGGACTTTCCAAATATATATGTCGCCTGATGGACTCTCTCTTACTTGACGCAATTGTAGCTACTACGTGGAAGCGGTACTGAAATTATTATTATTATTATTATTTTTTGGTATTGAAATTATGAAAATAATAAATCTATAAATATATTATAATATATAAAAAATATAATGGTTATTTTTCAATATTCCAAAATATAAAATTTAGTTTTTCTTAAATGTATGATTTCTATATAATTAAATTAGTGGGTAATCCGTATTTCGTACCAAATTTAATATATTAACTGATAATCAGATTAGAAAAACTTTTAATAATTTAAAATATTTATAGATATAATTAATAACAGTCTTACATGGTTAATAAAATAAAATTTATCAAAATCATATTATATATAATTAAAAATATATATATATATGTAAAAATATAAATATTAAATAAAAGTTTTGGTTCATAACATTTATTACATATTTGAGTTTTAAAAAATTATAATCATGGCCATGTTTTTTTCTCACAACAACGGCAATAAATAACAAAAGTAAACGACAAGATAACTTTAAAATAAAACTCTAAAATAAATGCGAACAGCAGCCGATGAGTAGGCAGTGGATCAGATGAATCGCAGATATTAATCAGTGTTATCCAACTCTTCATCAGTGTTCGTTACAATTTTTTTCCTTATCAGTCTCTCCGTCAAAGCTATTTTTCCCGACGATGCGGCTGCTGCAGCAACGAGTAAACGAACATGGCACATATAAAAAAAATAGTTGCATATTTAATTTTCATCACAATATTAATTTTGGATCCAAAAAATTATATTAAATATTATACTTACATTTTTATTTTCTTAAATTTTAATTTAATGTTCATTCATCCGACATTAAGATTTATTCATAAACATCTAATGATTTCAAATATATAACTAACAATATTGATCATATTTCAATAGATTAAACACCATAGTTCTTCAAATTAATGGAATATAATATGTTGTTATTTTAGATTATAAACTTTTAAAATGAATTAGTAATATTATTATATTTTAATGTTTTACTTTGTTTATAACATTTTGGCTTTTTGAAATAGTTTTAGTTCCGAGAACTTATTTGATTCCTCGGAAGAATCAAGCTTAGAATTTGTAGTTTCGTTGTTGCTTGAGACATTTTGGAGATGTTAGGAATCAAAAACATATAAAAATCAATGAAAATAGTATATATGTGACTGATTCTGATTCTGCTTCATTAGCATTGAGATTTACAAACATCCTAAAGAAAAATGAATAGCTAGAACTTGGGGCATTACCACTCCAGGCTTGCCTTATGCAAAAGAGGCGATAACTAATATAGAAACATTGTTTTGTATTTATTTGATGAAAATGAATAGAAAAGATATAGAAAAAAAAAGAATAAGTGACAGTTGATATTACTATATTATATAAGATTTGTATTTCGTTGGGTGGTTTGATTTTCGTTTATGGTTTGTTGGATGAAAGAGAATCATTTGGAGAAGGGTAAAAAAAACCGAAGCTTTTGTTTTTGTGTTAGTTTGGTGAAAGAGAATCTAGTAGAAATATAAAAAAAATAAAAGAGAAAAAGTGACATGTCAATTTTTAAGATGACAAATGATAGCATATTAGAGCTGTTTATGAGTAAAAATAACTATATTTTATAATATTCTGTATTGAAGGGTTGGTAAAATAATATTATCTATAGATAATGAAGTTTGATTTTGTTAGGAAAATAAAGCTGCCACTGTTTTGAAGAAGCACACATAGATGATCGGAAAAAAGGTCTTAAAGAGTAGAATCCGGGATTGTGATAGTGGTGGCGGTTTGAGGTTTCATGGAGTATGGAGTATGGAAGAAAAGGGTGAGCGATTAATCTTAAAAAAATTACGAAAGCAAATAATGCATGATTTTCTATTTGATGGGCCACAAAGAAAATATAAAGAAATGAATCTATTTTATGCAATGAAACAATGTCATAGTCAGCTCTTATATGTTAAAAAAAATATTTTTAAATAATGTGAAATAAGACACATTTTTTTTGTTCAATTGGTTTACTTATAACGTTACACCAGGTCTAACCCGAATTGATGCAGAGCATTCTTGGCTAAGAGGTCCGCTTGTTGGTTGTTCTCTCTTGATACATGAATTGCTGCAAATTATAAAAAAAAAAGTAAATGATAGATCGAGGATATCGTGATGAATCCCGTGGGGTTCCTTGAATTGAGACTCCTTGTTGATTGCTTTGATTAGCTATTGCGAATCTGAAGCGACTGTAAATTTTCTGAGCTTGAGCTCCTTTGCATGTTGGATCACCATTAGAAGAGCCAGTCCTTCTGCCACCAGGACTGATTTGACGTTGCTTGCCGTTGCCGATCCTTGGGTAATTGTCATTCCTTCCTCGTCTTTGAAGATCCATCCCAATCCTGCTCGTTTTATATTTTCCTGCTAAGCTGCATCTGATTGACATCGTTTTACTCCTGACTGGGTTCTTTGTCGTTTGCCAATCATAGGTTTGGGTAGAATGTCCTTCGTCTGGTGTTTCTGCGGTAGTGATTGAGCCGTTTGCCATTCTCTGGCATTTTGTACTGCTATCGTGTCTATCTCTTCCGGAATTTGTTCCCGATCCTTGAAGATGGTCTGGTTACAGGCTGTCCAGATTGATCAGATGATCCAAGGTGCTATGGGGCCATGTCCCACGCCTTTTGGGGGTAAGCAGGTAAGATCCATCGTCATCTCTATCCCCATTCACACACTTGTGGCTTGACTCGAGTCAACTTGACGGGTGCTCGGTGTCTGACTCCAGGCGGCGATTGCATATGGGCAATGGAAGAGGAGATGCAGAACCGTTTCCGCATCACCGTAATGTGAGCACCTCACTGTGGTATTCACATTCCTTTCTTTCAAGTTTTCCCCTGTTGGTAACACATTTCTCATTGCTTTCCATAATAGGAGTTTCAGCTTTGGAGATTTCTTCGCTTTCCAAATTATCGAGTTCCAATTGAAGTCTTGTATGAGAGGATCAAGTGCTGGGGTAGAAGTGTTTTCTTTATCTTGTTTTAGTGCTTTATAGTAGCATGATTTTGTTGTGTAGACTCCAGTTTCTGTTGGTAGCCAAATCCACTCATCTGCAGCACCTAATTTGTTTGTTTTAATATGCAGGATTTTTTCTTGGTACTCCGGGAGCAGTGCTTGAATCTTTTCTTTGTCCCACTCTTTGGTT